TGCATAGTGTTGAGTGCCTGTAATCCCAGCTACTTGGAAGGCTGAGGCAAGAGAATCGTTTGAACCGGGGAGGTGGACGTTGCAGTGAGCCGAGATCATGCCACTGCACTCCAGCCTGGGCAACAAGAGACAAAAGTGAGACTCCATCTCAAAAAAAAAAAAAAAAAAAGACTATGTCAGTCACCATGCGATGGAATATCCTACACCTGTTTCAAGATAAGGATGAGTTCTGTGTACTGACATGAAAAACAATCCATGATTTTATGTATCAAATATATGTACGTACATACATGTGTGTGTATGTATACATTTTTTTCAAGAACTGTTAAACCAAACCATTCATATTAAATACCCAAGGGTGGGTTTATAAGAGACTTTCATCTGTAATTTACACACTTGGGGTTATCAAAATTTCTTTTTCTATTTTTTAAGATGGAGTCTTGCTCTGTTGCCCAGGCTGGAGTGCAATGGTGCAATTTCGGCTCACTATAACCTCCACCTCCCAGTTCAAGCCATTCTCCTGCCTCAGCCTCCCAAGTAGCTGCGACTACAGGCGCATGCCACCATACCCAGTTAATTTTTGTATTTTTAGTGGAGACGGGGTTTCACCATGTTGGCCAGGATGGTCTCAAACTCCTGATCTCAGGTGATCTGCCCGACTCAACCTCCCAAAGTGCTAGGATTACAGGCATGAGCCACCGCACCTGGCCAGGGTTGTTAAAATTTCTATAACAAATGTGTATAATCATGACACTGTGATATAATAAAATAAAAACCATATATTTGATCTCATGGTTCCTGGCAAACAGCTACTAAAGCCCTTGAAACCTCTGGAGTGATGAGAGTGTCTTACGTGTGCTAATGAACTGGCTGGTGGTTGGGGTTTCCTAGGTAGCTTCAGGATAGGGGTTCACTTGTCCAGGCGCAGTGGCTCATGCCTGTAATCCCAACACTTTGGGAGTCCGATGCAGGAGCATCGCTTGAGTCCAGGAGTTTGAGACCAGTCTGGGCAACATGAGGAAACCCCGTCTCTACTAATAATACAAAAAAAAAAAAAAGAAAATTAGCTGGGCATGGTGGCGCACACCCGTAATCCCAGCTACCCGGGAGGCTGAGGCTGGAGAATCACTTGAACCTGGGAAGTGGAGGTTACAGTGAGCCAAGATCGTACCACTGCACTCCAGCCTGGGCAACAGAGTGAGACTGTGCCAAGAAAAGAAGAGACGAGACGAGACGAGACGAGATTAGATGAGAAGAGATGAAAAGAGACGAGAAGAGAGAAAGAGAAAGAAAGAAAGAGAGAAAGAGAGAAAAAGAAAGAAAGAAAGAAAGAAAGAAAGAAAGAAAGAAAGAAAGAAAGAAAGAAAGAAAGAAAGAAAGAAAGAAAGAAAGGAAAGAAAGGAAAGAAAGAAAGAAGGAAAGAAAGAAAGAGAGAGAGAGAAAGAGCAGAAGGGAGGAAGGGAGAAAGGGAGAAAGAAAGAAAAAGTGACCATTTGGGCACCAGGCTAGGGAGTGTTGGTGTGCACCTGCAGTCCCAGCTACTCAGGAGGCTGAGGCAGAAGGATTGCTTGAGCCCAAGAGTTCAAGGCTGCAGTGAGCTATGATCGCACCACTGCACTACAGATTGGGCAACAGAGCAAGACCCCATCTCAAAATATAAAATAAAGATCATAAAGGATACCAAGCAAATCAGGGGGCAATAATGAAAGAAGGTAACCACTTACAAGATTGTGGCAGGAATCCAGATTTTAAAAATGGTTGTGGTTTAGGTTAGCATAAAACAAAAAAGACATTTCCCATGTAAAACACAAAACTAGAATAGTCAGGCAAACGAAGAAAAATGTGTGATGCTATGGTAAGAAACTGATGACAGACAAATATTTTGCCAGGAGGGAGAGGGTAGGTGAACAGGGGACAAGAGGGTATTGGAGAAAATGGGAATGGGGAAGTGGCATTTGAGAAGAGCCTGGAAATCTTGAAATCATGCCCACGGTTTGCCAGGTAGCGGGAGCTGGAGGCAGGAAGGGAAGCACTCACCGGACCTCAGCTGATAAAGCGGGTACAGATATCCCCCAGGCCTCAGAAGCCCTAAGCTTTTCAGCAGGAGAACCAGGCATTTAAGAGCCAGACTGTTCAGGTTCAAATCCCAGTTCCCCCATTTTCCAGCTGTGTGGTCGCTCTGTGCCTCAGTTTCCTCCCCTGTAAAAGGAGGATTATAGGAGCCAACGTGTGCCAAGTTCTCAGCATAGCACCTGGCACACAGTAAGTACAATATGAAAGTCAGTTAGGGCCAGTGTCGTGATTAGCATATGTGGCAGATCAGAAAGATACCAGGAGGGAGGTCCCAGAGGGAGCCGGTGCAGGAGCCATAACCTAAGGAAAGAGTATTCATTGGGTGAGAACACAGCTGGGTGTGGACATCCAACTCTGCACTCCCAGTGTGGCTGGGAACAAGTCCCTTGTCTCTCTGGCTTCGGATTCTTCTGTGAAACGGAGAAGCTGAGTGTGGTGGAGAGAAAATGGATGGGTCTGAGGGTGTCATGTTACTGCCGGTGTCTACTGGAAGGGCTGGGCCCATATACATGGGGAGAGGCCACATGGGCTGCCTTGGACCAATGGCTGCCAACCCCAAGCGAGAGCTACAGTGTTTGAGAGACAGCGAGTACATGAAAATCATTCAGCACCTCAGTGGCAAAGCCAGCCCACTCAGCCTCCTTGTAAACATTTTTATATACACAGCCAGAAGGTTCTCGGCGTGGCTGCCAAGCCCTAAAAGTAAAATCACAAGGCCAGTAAAACACAAAGATACGACCTCTTTGGGGCTCTTGTAAAAGCAGCAAAATAAAGGCCTGATGCCTTCTGGAGGCGCACAGGCCACCCACCTGCCACTGTACACAGACATGCACACACACACGTACTCACATTCACACATGCACTCACACGGGCACATAACCCGTGTGTGCTCACCCTAGAACGCACCTGTGCTTATGCACACATGGGCACACAAGGCACCTGCACTCACATATGCACGCATGTGTGTATGCATGTGTACACGCCCCCACGCCCACATTCACACACCCTCACCCTGCTCATCCACAGGCATGCATGCGTACACACACATAGCAGCAGCTGCTCGTGCACACGCACGCTCACCCTCACCCAGGACACATGCATACATGCATGTACACACACACAGGCCCTGCTTTCTGGAAGCCAGATTTGGAGCAAAGTTGACCCAGGAGCTCCAAGGCCTTGGGAATTATGGGATGCACATCCCAGAGGGCTGCAGACAGTGGAGAGGTGTGAAGCGCGGGCCTGGATTTCACCCAGCTCTGCCCCTCATGAGGTGTGAGACCTAAGTGACTTCATCTCTCTAAGTCTTGGTTTCCTCATCTGTCAGGTGGCAGTGAAAATGACAGCCCCTTCCTCACAGGGTTGTGGGGAGGTTTCTCAGTTGATGCTTGTAATGTGCTTGGCACTGTATCCGGCACATAGTAACTGTTCAACAAATAGCAGCCATGCAGTGGTCGTATTATTGTATTTTCCAGTGATCTCAATTTGGAAGTTGTGGCTTAAGCTGCACAGCAAAATGTTTCAGAGATGGCCATATATAGCAATTAAACAGGACACAGCCATGGGGACATCAAAGAAATGGAGGAGGCGGTCCTGACTGTCGAGAGGGGGTAGGGAGTCCTTGTCGCTTTCTGGGAACTGAGGGCCCAGTGGGTTCCCTGTCTCTTGCCCCTCAACTTCACCAGCTCCACTTGATTGGAGCGCTCCAAGGAGACGGTGTCTGCAAAATAGAATGTCACCAGCTTCTGGAACATGTGGTGCCCTTCTGCCTCAGTTTCCCCTCCCTGACTCCCAAGCCCAGAGCCCTCTCTTAATCTCCAGGCTATCTGAAGAGACATGCATACCTGTTTCACTCTTGGCAGCCTATCTCCTGGGTGGCAGAGGGTAGGCAGGTGGGGAGGCAGCCACACTCCCCCATGTCCCTAAGGCAAGCTCTCCTCCTGTGTCCATTCTCTCATTCTTCCACAGTAACAAAATCCCTGACTTTCATCTAGGCACAGCATTGCCCAGGATAAAGACATTTCCCAGCCTCCCTTCCAGTTGGGTGTGACCATGTGACTAGTTCTGGTCAAGGAGATATATGCCGGTGTTGTAGGATAACTTCTGGGAACCTTAGAGTTTGCCCTTCCTGCATCCTGCTGCCTGGAATGCAGAGGCAATGACTGGTGCTCTGGCAGCCATCTTAGACCATGAAGAAAAAGGAAATGGGACAACAGAGAGGGCAGCAGGGGCCAGGATCCTGAGGACTTCATGGAGCAGACCTACCTTGGATTGCCTACTTCCAAACTTTTACAAAAGATAAATTTCTCCATTGAAATCAGTTATTTAGGGTCACTATTACTTGCAACTAAACCTAATCCTGACTGCTATCCCCCTACTCAAGCTGTGCCCTGCTCCTGATAATCCAGTCACTGCCTTGCACAGCTCTGAACATCTCTGTGGGCTCAGAGCCTCTGCTGTCAGGCTCTGAACACCACTGAGACCTCTCTAGATGGTAGCATCCAATCAGACTGGCCCTCCCCACACCTGTGAGATGACAAAGGCCAGGCACCTGGCTTCCCTCCTCTAAGGTCAAATCCTACAACTGGAGGCAAACCCCAACACCGGTCTTGCCTGAACCAAACGTCCACACCCCCATCATCCCTCCCACAGTCCCAGCATGCACTGGACGGAATGGAAGGGTGGTGACCCTCAGGACTACTCCGTCAGGCAGGGAGGGCAGGCAGTCCCCATTCACCAACCTCTCCCACTCTACTGAGAGCTCAAGAAACTCCGGGCTTTGCAACAGGGTGTCTGGCTTCCAGGACCCTGTTGCCCAGGGATGCTGAAGGAGACGCTTTGTCATAGGGCTTTGGGGAGCCACCAAGGCAGGAAAGATGTCCCCAGAGAGGGCGGAGCTGCCACAGCTGAGCTGGGGCCACACTCACCTTTCTCCGACGCCGGGGCCAGGTCAATGAAGCTGCGACATTTTTCACCTTTGAAAAGAAGAGAAGCGTTTTCAGAATGTGAGAGGACACGTGGGCTTCCGAGGTTTGCCTGCCCCCGTCCCACGAGCCCTGGAGCAAGCCAGTGTCTCTGACCCAAGCCCAGTGACATCTTTCTCCAACCCTGATTCCTAGACGCCCAACGTCCCAGGAGCGTGGATGGCGAAACTGCCAACTCTCCCACCTCCTGACCCCATCCATCCAGGCCCATTGCTTCCACCTCGGCGATAGCAACTGGGTCCCCTTCCACAGCCTCCCCCCAGAATCCACGCTGCTCCACACTGGCCTCCCCAGGCCTCCACTCTGGCCCCTCTCCAATTCATTCTCCACGCTGCAGCTGAAGGGGTCATTTCAAAACACAGCTCTGATCACATCCAACACAGGCCCACACACAGCTTGCTCCTGTTTGAAACTCTTCGATGACTTCCCAAAGGAGAAAGTTCAAATTCCCATATGTGGACCCAGAATAGGCCTTGACTGGCCTGTCCACCCACTGCCCTCTCCCTCTGCCCCCGTTCCGGGTACACCCCTGTGCAGCCCCCACACCATGGCTTTGTACATGCTATTCCCCGCCTGGAACACACTCCCGCTGTTGACTCTCACAGCACCTTGGTTTTCTACGGGGCGCGGTCGCCGTCCTGAGTCTGCCTCTGCATGTCGTCCCGAGTGCAAGTTAGTCGCATTGAGATGATAACTTACTGAAAGAGAGTGTGCTGGCCAGGCACGGTAGCTCACACCTGTAATCCCAACACTTTGGGAGGCTGAGGCGGGCGGATCACCTGAGGTCAGGAGTTTGAGACCAGCCTGGCCAACTCGGTGAAACCCCATCTCTACTAAAAATATAAAAATTAGCCGGGCGTAGTGGCAGGCGCCTGTAATCCCAGCAACTTGGGAGGCTGAAGCAGGAGAATCGCTTGAACCCAGGAGGCGGAGGTTGCAGTGAACCAAGATCGTGCCATTGCACTCAAGGCTGGGGGACAAGAGTGAGACTTTGTCTCAAAAAAAAAGAGAGAGAGTGTGCTGACTTGGCCAAGAACTGGAAGGGAGGATTTAAAAGAAAGAAAAGAAAGTGGTGTGCTAGAGTGGATGGATTTTGAACAAATTGCTTTACACTTTCTTTACTGTTACATTGTTTCCTCAAAGGCTAGAGGGAGGGAAATTCAATGTGCAGATCATACTTGGGGAGGCCGAGGCGGGCGGATCAAGAAGTCAAGAGATGGAGCCCATCCTGGCCAACATGGTGAAACCCCGTCTCTACTAAAAATACAAAAATTAGCTCGGTGTGGTGGCACGCATCTGTAGTCCCAGCTATTCAAGAGGCTAAAGCAGGAGAATCACTTGAACCTGGGAGGTGGAGGCTGCAGTGAGCCATGATCGCACCACTGCAATCCAGCCTGGGCAACACAGCAAGACTCCGTCTCAAAAAAAAAAGTGCAGAGCAGCATCCACAGCCACATTGAGGCATTGGTGGGCTTTGGGCCATTTTGCCTTAATGAGCCCCTTCCTAAATAAAAACTAAATAATTAATTAAAAATTGTTGTATTTATACATCGTGGATAGCACAATTGTTGTATTTATCAATTGTGGATAGCAGCACTAGCCAAGATTTGGAAGCATCCTAAGCATCAACAGATGAATGGATAAAGAAAATGTGGTACATACACACAATGAAGTACTATTCAGCCATAAAAAAGAATGAGATGCTATCATTTGCAACCACATGGATGGAACTGGAGGTCATTATGTTAAGTGAAATAAGCCAGGCACAGAAAGCCAAACTTTACATGTTCTCACTTATTTGTGGGATCTAAAAAACAAATCAATTGAATTCATGGACATAGAGAGTAGAAGGATGGTTACCAGAGGCTGGGAAGGGTAGTAGGGGATTGGGGGGGCAGTGGGGATGCTTAATAGGTACAAAAAAATAGTTAGAAAGAATGAATAAGACCTACTATTTGCTAGCACAGCAGGGTGACTGTAGACAATAATAACTTAACTGTATATTTTTAAATAACTAAAAGAGTGTAATTGAATTGTTCGCCTGTGTCAAAATATCTCATGTGCCCCATAAATATATTCACCTACTAAATACCCACAAAAATTAAATATTTTATTTTGTTTTATTTTATTTTATTTTATTTGAGACAAAGTCTCACTCTGTTGCCCAGGCTGGAATGCAGTGGTGCAATCTTGGCTCACTGCAACCTCCGCCTCCTGGGTTCAAGCAATTCTCCTGCCTCAGCCTCCCAAGTAGCTGGAATTACGGGCACCCACCACCATGCCCAGCTAATTTTTGTATTTTTAGTAGCGATGGCGTTTCTCCATGTTGTCCAAGCTGTCTCGAACTCCTGACTTCAAGCAATCCGCCTCAGCATCCCAAAATGCTGGGATTACAGGCATGGGCCACTGCGCCCAGCCAAAAATTTTAAATTTAAATAAAATTTAATTTAACTTAAAAATAATTTTAAAATTATGTTTTATAGTCACATTGGTATAGAGATGAATATACAATATTACTATTAAATATTAAACATTTTCTTCACCTAAAAGTTTCCTTTTCTTCTTCTGAACTTTCTACTTCTTCTAGACCCTTTCTTACAAATAGAAGCTCACAGGGGACTCGGCTTACACATACATTAATGTCTATTTCCCCCAGCAAGCTGCAAGCTCTGTGAGGACAGGGGCCAAGTCTACACTGCATCCCCAGCTAGTAAATGGCACCTCCATCCCCAGGTGCTCAGGCCAAAACCCTGGTGCCATCTTTATCTCATTTGTGTCTCTAGCTTCCCAAAGCATCTGGCGTCCAGCCACTTCCCGCCACCTCCGCTGGTCCAGCCACCATCGGTTCCCACCTGGATCACTGCAGTAGCCTCTACACTGGTCTGTCTGTTTCTGCCCCATCCTCACAGTGACCAGAAGCATCCTGATACAACCTAAAACAGATTATGTCCCTTTTCTGCTCAGAACCCTCCCAGCATTCCCAACTCACCCCAAGTTAGAGCCTAAGTCCTCGCTGTAGCCTGCAAGATCCCCTGTGATCTGTCTCTCCATCACTACCCTGACCTCTTTCCCTCCTGTCTTCCCTCTCGCTCACTCCACTCCTGTCATTTTGGTCTCCTTGCTGATCTTTGAACGTGCTGGACATTCTCCTGCCTCAGGGCCTTCGCACTGGCTGCCTCTGCTACCTGCAGCACTGTTCACTCGCACTGAGTGGTTTACTCCTCCTCTCCCTTATCATTTTTCTCAAATATTATCTTCCCAAGGAGGGCTTTCCATTTAATCTATCTAAAATTCCAAACGTCCCTCCCCTGACACGCTCCATCTCCCTTCTGGATGGATTCCTAACAGCTACGACAGAACCTGGGGTACAGTGACTGCTTAATAAATATTTTCCAACCAGCCTGAGCAAGAAAGCGAGACCCCATTTCTACAAAAAATTTAAAAATTAGCCAGATGTGGTGGCACGGGGCTGTAGTCCTGGCTACTGGGGAGGCTGAGGTAGGAATATCGTTTGAGTCCAGGATGTTGAGGCTGCAGTAAGCTGCACTCCACCCTGGGCAACAGAGCAAGACCCTGTCTAGGAAAAAGGAAACAAACAAACAATGTTGAAGGAATATATGAACAAATGAGCAAGCAAATGAACACACGAGTGAGTGAATGAATGAATGAATGAATGAATGAATGAATGAATGAATGAATGAATGCCACTGAAACCTTACGTCTACAAGAAGCTTCCCCTCTTCAGTCTTTCTTCCCAGGCCTCCCTGATGCCGGGGACACAGTGTTGGCCACCAAGGATGCAGCACTGAGCAAATCATGGCCCAACCTCTAGACCTTTCTCACAAAGAGAGGGGGCGCACACTGGACCTATGCTCACAAACACATTTTGTTTGACCTACACGGGATCATAAAAATAGGTAAATTGCTACCTACAAATTCAGATTTGTAATTTTCTCTGAAAGAATCAGAAGATCTGACTGTGCTGAGCCCGCAATCCCACACAGCAGCAATCACATGGGGCCGGGCAGCTGTGCCTCCTTTAGATAAGGCACCTGCAAGCTCTCTGGTTTGCCACAGTCCCCACCGCCCACTACTGCTCTGCCCCTAGCCTCACCTAAACCACCAAGATGGCCCCTGCGACGCTAGATTGGATAAACTCTAGGGTGAGTTTGCAACCCCTGGCTTCAGGATATTACTGCTGATCCCAACAAAGAGACAGATTGGGTCGAAATGGAACCAACATGGCCTGAAGAGTCAAAACGATCTAGAAGCTTTCAGCATTCTCAACTCATTTGTCTGCTTGGAGCTTCCTAAGTTCTCTGATAAGGTCTCTTGAAGCCCCTTTGGCCTCCTGAACCTCCTGCCAGCCCCATATCAATGCAGAGGCAGAGATGGAGGCAGCAGTGGGAGATGAGTCTGAGAAGGAAGGCAGGGGTCAGATCACAAAAGGTCTTAAGTGTTGAGACAAGGAGGTGCTTCCTCTCTTATTTATGTCACTCCTTCCAAAGAATCACGAGGCCACAGATGGGTGAACCCTGCTCTGTGGTTCCAGCATTCTGGCTTCCCCTGCCCCCGCCCCGTGCTCTGTACTGAGATGCAGGACTCACGCTTTCCATTACAGAAAAAGACAATAAGGCCCAGGGCAGCTGAGAGACCATCCTGGGCCACACAGCATGTTAGAGGTGCTCAGAGTATAGCCTACTGAAAGAGATGTTTGCTGACAGCCAAGAACTAGAAGGGAGGATTAAAATTAAAAAGTGTTGGTCAGGCACGGTGGTTCATGCCTATAACCCCAGCACTTTGGGAGGCCAGGGGGGAGGATCACTTGAGCCCAGGAGTTCAAAGCCAGACTGATCAACACGGAGAAACCCCATCTCTGATAAAAATACAAAAATTAGCTGGATGTGTTGGCATATGCCTGTAATCCCAGCTACTTGGGAGGCTGAGAAAGGAGAATCGCTTGAATCTGGTAGGGGGAGGTTGCAGTGAGC